GGGAGGATGATGGCAACGCGGGGTGTTAACAGTACAGGCTAAATAGCGTGGGCCGTCTGTTCCTGATTTCGACTCTACTCTGCTTTCTTGACCCAACTGCCATGCATGTTTCTTATTATTCTGTGGATTTGTCTTGCACTGATGGGTGGGAAAAGGCTGGTGAAGCAATAATCATTTAACTGACAGCAATGACTCTCTGGTGCCCTCTACAAATTTCCCACAGTCTTTGCTGATGCCTCGGGGCCCTTCAGGGTTTAGAATTACAGCTTTCAGTAAATATTCTTAGACTCACACTCACATGAGCTGTAGTGAAACAGCACTGTCTGTCGTGACAATCCTTCACGGAGCTGTATGTCCAAACATTGATCAGAACTGAGGAATAACAATCACAGCAGCACTGACATTTCTTAAGCACTTAGCACAACAGTTCTAATCCCTCTACATGTATTCACTGATTTAATCCTCAACAATACTAGGAGGGAAGTGCTGTCATTATCCACTTTTGATAAATGGGAAAACTGAGATATAGAGAAGTTAAGAGACTTGCCAAGGTCACACAGCTAGTAAATGGAGGAACTGGGACTCAGACCTGGACAGTCAGACCTCAGCATCTCTAAGCTTTGCCTCTTTTCGGGAAGTCAAGAATGGAAAAAGGACAAAGTTAGGAATTATTATTTCACACAAACCCTAACATCACTAATTAAAGAAATTAAACACTCATTAAATAAGAATAAGTACTCCCTCCTTTACAAATGGGGACATTTTGAAGTAAAAACTGTACTATGTTTCTATGTCAATATGGTTGCCAGCCATAAGCTCATGGAATGATTATCATATTTCAAAGGATTTGAGTGGAAAGACCTGTGGGAAAGCTGTTGGGTAAAGAGAGCTATTGTGTTCTGCATATCAAGATGACGCTCCTGACCCAATGTAAGCTAGGCTTCTATGCTAAGTAATTTTCCTAGTTGTGGTGACAAGTTGTCCTCAGCCAGCCAATCCCATCTTTTCTTCCTTGTTGACTAGCTGGGCATGAGAGACAAATGACCTGGGTCTATGAAGAAGTCTTATTTTCTTCTACTCAAAACTCAATAACCCAAATGAGGCAGCTTCACTGTCACTAATTCTGTGTTCTCACCAGCTGAATCATCATCCTGGCTTTCATAAGACAAGAGGAAAAGAGAAACTTTGAGATGATAGCCAATAGAGTCTCTCAGGTGTGGAATGTGAGCAGGAGGCCTTTGGGAAGCGTTTGGAGAAAAACAGCAGAGGTAAAGCCAGCTGGAGGGTCTGGTTATAAGGCAGAAGTCACTCTCTGGAGACGGCCTTGCATTTCAGTATTTTCACACAGATTCTCCCTCATCCCTTTTTAAAAATAAGGATACATACTTTTGAGGGTTTTTTTCTTATAAGTGATAGTATTCATTTAACTCACGATGATGTAAATATCCTGAAATAATACTGTTCTGACCTGATTCTAAAGCTTATGTTAAAAAAAAAAAGTGTTGCCGTGTTATAACAATCAACTTTGGGGACCTAACCAATGTAGATAGATCTGATGAATAAGTCACTTCCCCCGAATCCTTCTCATTTTTTAATAGTAAGTGTTCTTAAATATCACGAAGATGTGTGTCATGTCGTTTTTCGGCTATAGCCACCCTTCTCTTAAACTAGAAGATAAAAGGCTCATCTGTACACTGCCAGCAGAAAAATAAATTGCATGAACTTCCCAGAAGACAATATCAACAGAAGCCTTAACAACAAGCATAATCAAGAAATAATTGGGAAAAAAATACTGTGGAGTCAGCCTAATCATTAATACATGATCTATATGATACATAAATATGATGAAATAATATATAGCCATGAAAAATAGAGAATATTTAAATAACATGGAAACATGGCCTGCTATACTGTCAAGTGAAATAGCAAGTTACAAAACATGTGTTGTGTATGCATTGTGTTTGCAGAGAAAGACAAACTCAGAGGATATGCAGACGGAATACTGAACAGCTGCTTGCTTCTTAGTGGTAGGATGCCACATGATTTCTGGTTTTGTCCCTTGTTTGCTTGTTCATATAAGTTTTTGACACTAAAATATAAAATAAATACAACATGGCGATATTTAGAATTTTATTGTGATGTCTCTACTGTCCTCCTTGGTGTTGATATAAAGCTGGTTATATTTACCACTAAAATTAATTCTACACACTTCCCCACACACACACTCATTTCTATTTAACAGTTTTTACTCTGACCAGGCCTTTTAATAAAGATGATTGTTATCTGACCAGCTGGATCATTTAAGTTATTTATTCTGTTGTTTTTTATAATTAGGCTTAAGAAATTAATACTGGTCATTGGCAATTATGATTCTTTTTTATTTTTTCAAGGTTCACTAAATCATTAATTAGTCCATCTTTGCAGTGTGTTTTCCCATGTCCTAAGCCATGAGATTGCAGTTTATCTACAGTGTCTTTGAGCAATATCTCCTCAAATCAACATAATAATTCAATTCAACAATTATTTCTTGAGTATCAGCAAGGTGCAGAACACAACACCAGGAAGAGTGGGAACGCACCAATGAACCAGACAGAACAGCTCAATGTCTAGGGGTCGAGAAAAACCCAAACATAGGTCACCCCAATGCAATGATGTCACAAGTAGTAGACAAACATCTATTCCAATTCCTGGATCCATCTTTCATCTCTGCCAGCTTCTTACAGAATGCTCATTTGCTTTATTCCTGTTAAAATATCACAAGTTGGAAATAACAAAAAATGGGAAAGCTGATGTTACACATCTTTAGTAGATATAAATTCTCCGAAAGCAGGAACGTGGTTGTATTTTGATGGTGATTTCTTAACTAAAATCCAACTCATCCATTAGGGAGTCAAACTAGATAAATTATCTCCTTGTGTCATGCAAATTCACTGGCTCATCCCCAGGTATAGACCCTCATGAATTCTAGCCAAATAAACATTTCATTTTATTTTGCAGGCAAGGACTGGGAACACAGGGAGAATCTACCTCTTGTCTTCTTTCCCCAGAAGCCCATTTTGCGGTCCACATTAGGTCACAGGATGACTGCTTAAGGGGTGGACTCCAGATCCTTCAGATATTTTTCCAAATGCAGGCTCCCTCCACTACAATTAGAGTTTGGGGCTTGAGACTGGATGTGGGATTGGCTCTTGAGGTAGGGTTTATGTCAACTGCTGCTACACCTTTGAGTAGATTAGAAAACCAGGCTTAATGTTTGTCACCAGCGTCTCTTTCCATCTCTCACATGTACGATGATGATCGGTATCTTGTTGCCTTAGAGACTGTCAGGCCTGGCATCTCTGTTTATCTGCAGAACACTTGGTGGTTTCTCAAAACAGGTGTGGCCTGGTTGAGCACAGCGTAGCCACAATTTTCTTTTTTTTTAAGAAGTTGCTTTGACTCTGATGGCTTTTACCAACTTTCCAAATGTCACTCAGGCTTCCTTAGGGGCTATTTGTCAAAGTTGCTGCTAAACTAGTCTCTTACCTGTTTTTTCTCTATATTTTAAGAAATGCAATACTAGACATGCAAAAAGTTTATTGAAGCAAAAAGTGGTTCCAAGTGACAAATAAGTTGTGGCCTGTACGTTGACAATTAGTTCTGGTCTTCTCCCTGATGGTGTGGCTTCTGAGGTAAATTACATGAAGAACACCAATTCTTGTTTGGTAAACTCCAGTGGGTTACAGAGCTGAGGGAGCTGATACTATCAGCAACCACCTATATATAGCCCTACTGGTGTGGAGCTTATGACCTGTAAAAGCATTGAAAATGTGTTAATATTGGGTCAGATTAAGCAGGAAAAACAGACCCAATTCAGCTATGGACATTGCACTAAAAAGAGAAAAAAATAGGGGCCAGCCCAGTGACGTAGTGGTTAACTTTGCACACTGCTTCGTGGCGCAGGGTTCATAGGTTTGGATCCCAGGCACGGACCTACACACCATTCATCAAGCCATGCTGTGGAGGCATCCCATATACAAAATAGAGGAAGATGGGCACAGATCTTAGCTCAGAGCCTCAAGTAAAAAGAGGAGGATTGGCAACAGGTGTTAGCTCAGGCCATTCTTCCTCACCAAAAAAAAAAAAAAAAAAACGAATATCCAAACAAGAAGCCATCTGCAGAGAAGCCTGAAGATCGGGGAATGTGGAGAGTTGGAGACGTTGAGTATATTTTGCTAGAGAAGAGATTTTAAGAATGCTAAGAGAGCTGATTTCAAGTATTGGGAAAATAACATGTGAATGCACAGGTAACCATATTCGTTAAGGCACCAGAGGGCAGAACTAGGTCAGAAAGGTGGACCTACAGTTTAAAAGGGGATTAGAAGTCAATTCCGTGGGCAAGACATTCTAACAATAGCCACTGTAACCATAGTGGAATGGTTACCTCAAGATAAGTGAAAATCCTATTCGAGGAGCAAATGCCTGATGACTATTTGCCAGGCTTGCTGTGGAAGGATTCTTATACTAGGACGGAGATTGGATTAGACCTCCAAGGTCCTTTCCAAATGTAAGATGCTATCTGTCTAATTAATTGCCAGTCATAGTCTTAGGTGTTGCCCTGGGCTGTCATCTCTGTGTCATTGAAATTTGGATTCACTTCTCCTTAACTGTTAGGTAATTGAGTGGATTCATATCTTTAAATCAGAAGTCAGCAGGAATAGTGATGGAGGATAGATAAATTCCTGGACTTCCAGCCTGATTAATTAGTGCCCCAGAGCCTTGGTTTAGGAAGATCCAGGAGACCCTGAGGCCAGTAGGATGTGAGTGTTCAAAGCACATAAAAGCAGACAGGTACCCATCTCTATTTGCTCCCCTAAGGAAAAAATAATTTCCATATTTTATGGATGTTTGAGTTTGGATATGATCTTGATTAAAGATCTTTAGTGGGGGTTTTTGTTTGTTTGTTTGTTGGTTGGTCTGGAGTTCCGAAATGCAACTTAATAAACACTTGGGTGGCCAACTCACTTTTGTCTCCCTTGTTGGTGAGAGTTAAAAGTATACAACCTGCAGTCAAGTTTTGGTCTCAGCTCAGTCCCTTGTGAGCTGCGTGGTCTTGTGCATGCTGCTTCACTTTTATGGGCCTTCATTTTCTCATTTCTGAAATGGAGTACCCACTATTTTATAAGTTTAGAGGAATCAAATGAGAAAATACATGTGAAAGGACTTCGTACGCTTTGAAACACCTTTCAACATTTAGCTAGACTTATTCAAATTTTCTCAACTGTGTGCTGTGGTCAGTATAAAATATAAAAAGCTCATTTTTCACTCTTTGCATTAGACTTTTTTTTTTTTTTTTTTTTTTTGCCTCAGAAGCAACTTCTCTTGGTCTTCCAATAAGTTCTATAGAAAGAAATGATTGATAAGAACCATCACTTTGAGTCTACACTTGTAAGTGAAGCAGAACATGAGGTGAGCATCTGGAAAATTATGTGTTCCTCAAACTCTCAACTCTAGGTTGGCATAAATGAGCAACTAGACAAGCAGCAGAAACTTTTGGGTTTATTAAGCAAGGCTAACAACTAAGGTAATAAACCAGGAAATGCACAGGGATTCTCCTGTGCGTTTCCTCCAATAGGAGGAGATTGGCATCTCCTCCGATGCCAAGCAGAAAAAAGAAACTTCCCCAGTAGAAGAGATTTCACAGAACAGGATTCAGCAGAGCTTCTCACATGCTTGTGGAAATAAAGCTATGTGACCATGCTATATTAATAATCTCTGACAATAATTATTTTGTTGCTTGATTCAGACCTTTTCTGCATAACATTGAGTCTATGTTTTTTGTTTTCTTTAAGCACACTCATAGAAGGTAAGTAGCCACAAAGCTTCGCTCTGGTTTCAAAGGTGCAGTCAAAATGTTACACTTCTACGTTGTGGCGACCAGACACACCCTGAGGAGAGAGAGTTTTACACCTTCACAAGAAAACAGAGAAACCAAGATACCTTGTGATATCTGGTACATACCAAGAAAAATGTGTTCTAACCTTGAAAGCCCATTGTAGAGGTAGGCAGGACCAGGCCATGACAAAACCAAGAAACTGGTTCATTCTCACCCAATTTCCCCCTTTTTTCCAGATGGACACGTGAGACTTTGAGCTACTTCACCCAACAAGAGTTTCACACTGGGGCCTCCCAAATCTACCTGCTCAATACTTCAGATGCAAATATTTCCTGACATCAGATTCTTCACCAAGAACCTTTCTGTGGTCCATTCTCTTAGTGCACAAATCTCTAGTGATAGGAACTAATCCTGTCAAACCATCCGTGTTCATTAACCTTGATGATGATACCCCTGTTAGGTACCTGCTTTGTGTGTAAAAAGTGAACTTCTGGAGAAACAATCGTACATGAAAGAAGTGATTCTAGTTGCAGAGATTGCATCCATATGGCAAGCTGGTGAAAAAGATTAGTTTCTGACAAAACTCCAGGGGCTTGTAAAATGGTGCATACAGAAAGCTGCCCGCTTTGCCCAGGCATGGAGTCAGTGCATGGGGAGGCTATACTCTTACACTTTACAAGTTCCTGGTATGGTGGCTCACTCATACGAAAAGGTCAATGCTTCTGTGCTGACACTTTCACTCCAGGTCTCCAGCCTGTGGAGCATAAGACTAAACTGAAGACTAGGTGATCAGGCCTTTATGAACAAAAGTAGAAAATAATACCTTGGCACACAAATGTTCTCATTTTCATTTCTCTCTCTCTCTCTGTATCAATTAAACATTTTCAATGTTACTAACATGTGACCATGGCAACTGAAAACTGGGCTTAAGTTGAGCACGAAATTGATGCACTTGGGCATTCAATCATTCATTAATTTAATTCCAGTTATTTAAGCATGTACTCAACAAATGCTTATTGAGCATTTACTATATGCTAGGCAATATGCTGGTCCCTGGGGATATAGAGAGAACAAGGCATGGTCCCTGCCTCCAGAAGCTTATAGTCTACTGGACGGACATGAATGAACAGTAAATTAAGATGCAGCTGTAATAAGTTCAGGGTACAATGGGAACTTAGAACAGGGGTGTCTAGAACCATCTTACAGGGTCAGGAAAATCATCATAGAAGATACAGTATCTAAGTTGAATCCTGAAAGAAGCAGAGAGGGGCAGCCTGTGAAGACAGACCGAAGGTTTGCATTCTTGGCAGTGAGTCCAGCCTAAATGTAAGAGAGAACAGAGTCCATGACAGGAAAAGTGAGTTTTTCGGTATGAACAGACACAGAGTAGGACAGGGAGAATTGAAAGAGATCAATTCGGAGAGAAAATCGTGCAGATGATCATACGGGGTCTTGCATCCTTTTGGTATCATTTACAGCCAAAGGGCTGGCTGGATACAACTTCTCTGAGGGTGCCACTTGAATGACTAAGGTCATAGAAATACAATGTTGGGAGGAGTTTAGTGGTAACGTAATATAATACCTACCCCCAGTGCATAAGTACTCTGCATAACATCTAGACAGGTACCCAAGCAGCCTCCCTCGTGAGTACCTCCAATAAGGAAGAATCCACTGCTTGACAGAGCAGCCCTCTCCCTCAAAGTCCAAGAGTCTGTGACGTTCTTCCATCTTTCTTTAAGGAAAGATAATTTGATGGTCCTTGCCCTCAAGAGGTTTACATTTTAATGATTCTGTGAATGATCCGTTAATTTCTAGATAAAATAATCTAGAAATAATCACACTGATAAAACAGACAATAACGTAGTAGACTAGGGTGTAGTATGACCAGAAAACCTGAAAGCAACCAAGATGTCCTTCAGTAGGTGAGTGGGTAACAAAATGTGGCAGTACATCCAGACAATGGAACATTATTCAGTTCTAGAAAGAAATGAGCTATCAAACCATGAAAAGACATGAAGGAAACTTAAATGCATATTACTAAGTGAAAAAAGTCAATCTGAAAATGTTACACACTACATGATTCTAACTACATGACATCTGAAAAAGGTAAAACCGGAGACAGTAAAAAGATCCGTGGTTGCCAGGGAGTAAGGGGAGTGAGAAATGAATAGGCGGAGCACTGAGGCTTTTCAGGGCAGTGAAAATTCTCTGTATGTTACTATAATGATGGATCCATGTCATTACACATTTGTCCAAACCCATAGAATGACAACTTCGAGTGAACTCTAATGTAAACTATGCACTCTGGGTGATAATGATGTGTCAATGTAGGTTCATCAGTTGTAACAAATGTACCACTCTGATGGGGGATGTTGATAATGGGGGAGGCTGTGCATGCTTGAGGGCAGGGGTATGTGGGAAATCTCTGTACCTTCTGCTCAATTTTGATGTAAACCTAAAACTGCTCTAAACAATAAAGTTTTTTTTTTTTTAAAAATGTAAGTAAACAGGTAAGGACAAAATACAATTCGTGTGCATGAAAAATATGGTTGCATAGAAACCTTGGCCTTCTAGAGATGAAGGCAGAAAGCAAAGTAAGTTCAGAAATCCTGGGCAGTGCCTGTCAGGACTACCTGAAGGGAGGCTGGGAGAATAGAAAGGAGACAGCTACAAAAAGGGTGAATGTGAGGTACGTAGAACAGGGTCAATTAAACAAAGCTTGTTGACTCTGGAATCTATCTGCTGCATCTCTTTTAAGTGAGGCTCAGGGACTTCCACTGTGTTTGTGATAGAGCAGCTTCTGCCCGAATGTTGTATTCTGGATATTGTACCAATCAAATAATATCTTGGAGACCTGTTGATAGGAATCACATGATGTCTTTTGTAAAGAAAATTACCCTCCATACTTTAATGGGTGTTTGTATACTTTAAGTGTGCTTAAACAGAATAACTTCTTTATTGTAGGGATATTCTCTGTAAATGATACCAAAACTATGGAGATTGGGGTTAATCCTTTAACCCGATACCAAGACAGCCAGGAAAGGAAGATTTTAGGAGCAAATTAGACTTGAAGAACATATCACATCGCATCCCATAGAAAGCTGTTCATAGATCCCATTCCGTACCTACTTTTCTTCTCATTTTGGGTGTAAATTATGTGCTCATTCTCTTTTCCACATCCATAAGTCCTTTTTGGCTTTTTAAGATCAAAATTAGCAGGGGGGGCCGGCCCGGTGGCGCAAGCGGTTAAGTGCGTGCGCTCCGCTGTGGCGGCCCGGGGTTCGCTGGTTCAGATCCCGGGCACGCACTGACGCACTGCTTGGCAGGCCATGCTGTGGCGGAGTCCCATATAAAGTGGAGGAAGATAGATACGGATGTTAGCCCAGGGCCAGTCTTCCTCAGCAAAAAAGAGGAGGATTGGCAGATGTTAGCACAGGGCTGATCTCCTCACAAAAAAAAAAAAAAAAAAAATTAGCAGGGGGTTTCAAGCTTTTAATTTTGTTCTTCTGCCTCAAGGGGAAAGTTTTTTTCTACAGATGTTTAGAAAAATCAGCACCTCAGTTTGTGCCTCGTATAGCAGGACTCCCTCTTCTCAAATAATCCAGTTCCTCCACCTTGGTGTTTCAGAACTGTCACTGTGTCACATTTGGGATTGTATACATGCATTGCCACCCCTAAGGTTGTTACCATGCCTCTGGCTTCGATGGGCCCTGCTACCTTGCATTTGTTTCCTATTGCTGCTGTAACAAATTACCAAACATCAGTGATTAAAACAAAACAAATTTAATATCTTAGAATTCTGGAGGTCAGAGGTCCTAAAATCAATGTGTTGGCAAGGCTGCAATTCCACTGGAGGCTCTACAGGAGAATCCATTTCCTTTCCTTTTCCAGATTCTGGAAGTTATCTGCATTCCTTGGTTTGTGGCCTTTTCTTCAAGTGTCAAAGCCAGGAGCGTAGCATCTTTAAATCTCATTCATTCTCTTTCTCTCCCTCTCCTTTTTATGAGCCAAATGGTAAAAACATACAGTCTGTGTCCTCCAGCCAAAACACAATACTGCTGGAGGGCCAGAAATGATATCTGACTCCCATATTTAGCATCATGCTATGCCTAAGTGGCAGTCTTTTCTCCAACATC